CTTCCTTCCTTCCTTCCTTCCTTCCTTCCTTCCTTCCTTCCTTCCTTTCTTTTGTTTTTGTTTTGCCTTTAAGACAGGGTCTTGTTAAGTCTTTCAGGCTGACCTTGAACTCACTCTGAATTTGAGGCAGACCTTGAACTTGTGGTATTCCTGCCTCATTCAGCCCAGAGCTGAAATTTCAGGCTTGCACCACCATTCTGGACAATTTTACAAGATTGCTACAATGGATATAGCTTCTTTGGGAGTGAAATATCTGACCTTGAACATGTTGTTCCAGGATTCCCTGATTTTAAGGTCACTAATGGGAGATTTTGAAATACTGTGCTGTTTTTGCCTTTGTGGTTAAGTTGGTGTTTTCCCTTACTGCTTTTATTATTATGGTCTAGTTTGTTTGGAGGTTTTCTGCTTCATATTTTTGATATTATGAAGAGGTTCTTCTCTGATTTTGTTTTAAAAGATTTATATATACAGTATATATAATATATTTATATTATACAATTACGTTACATATCATGATATAGTATATAATTACACAAAATTGTATAATACATAATAATATAAATAATAAATATAATATATTCTATAGTAATTATACATTATATAACAGAATACATAAATTATATATAAAATTTTTTCACATAACATTTTTATTGATTTTTCTGGGAGTTTCGCATCATGCACTCTGATCACAATCCCTTTCTGTTTCTTTCAGGTCTGCTTGCCCTTTTGACTGCCACCCACCCCCCCATCACCAGGCAAAATAAGTAAAAGGTTAAAAAACAAAATAGAAAAAGAAAAAAAAAGGCCATTTTGTGTTATCTGGAGGATGGTCAAATTCTTAACAGCCTGCCCCTTGAGATAGAACTGAGTCTCTTCTTCCCACACCTCCGCCAGAAGCCTTCAGTTATAGAGAGCTACTCTTTGGTGTCTCTGTCTCACTTTTGAAGGGTTTTCTTTGGTGGCTTCCTGTCTTGGCTGTTACTTTTGTGGGGGACAGGTTGGGATAGGGGGTTGTCACAAGGGCCTTCCATGTCTCCCTTTCTCAACTGCATCTCTACTCATTAACATCATGGCAAAAGTAGTCTCTTTGCTCTTTGAAGTTAGCCAGGACACAAATCAGGGGCCTCCACTTGGTTTCTGTCCACAGTGCAGGCTGCAATCACCGCCTCCTGCTGTAGCCTCCAGAGGCTGCCCAGATGACGGGTGTCAACATGGCCTCAGGTGGCAGTGCAGCCACCCACATCAATGGCCCCCGGGGGCAGCACAGCCTATGGAAGCATAGCGAAGTGGCTTCAGGCTGCAGCACAGACCACGGACATCGGCAAGGCCTTTGGTGGTAACACAGGCCGCAGACATCAACACAGACCCTAGCTGCAGCAGGACCGTGAACGCAGACATGGCCCTCGGTGGCTATATCTCTATCTCTGTATCTATCTCTATATCTATTTATAGATATACATATATACTGTTTTTTTTTTAATCTTTGCAGATATCCCATCACTGACTTTATGAGTTTCTTGGACTCTTCCTCTCTGGCTTTCTGGGAAATAGTAGCTTTTCTTATCCCCGTACTTCTCCTTTAGTGAGTCATGTGGTAATATTGTGTAGTCCATCACCTGACTTAAAAGTCCCATTTTATCTTTTTAATTGACATAGGACAATTTGACACATTTTCGAGAGATGATGCTTGCATTGTGTTTCATGTAGACAGCGTGTCATGGTTGATTAAGATGATTGGCATATGCCATCACCCTGTGACACCATTTCCTTGTTCTGAGAAAAATAAAATAAATCCTATTACTTAATTTAGAGTGTTCAGTTCTTTGTTGTTAGTCATGGATGTCTTGTGCCATAGAACATCATAAGTTATCTTACCTAACCACACCCCTCTTCCCATCGAGTGCCTTCTCATCTAACCACACCCCTCTTCCAGTGGACATCTAACCACACCCCTCTTCCGGTCAAGTGCCTTCTCCCTGCCTTCTGAGGCTCTAGGAACCACCACTGGAAAGGAAACTCTTACATTATCAGCTTTTAGCCCCTACATATAGGTGTGAATATGCAGCATTTTCTAATTATGCTTACATTGAGTGGGTTTTCGATCTGACAGTGTAAGTGAATTCAGCAAATTTGTTTGGTGATTGTACTTATACTTGGAGATACAACGACTTCAACAACTAATAGAAATATTTGTCAACTATTTCTTTTTCTCATCTTGAGTTCCTGTTTTTCTTGGCTATAGCACATATAAGCATGCTTGTTACACCTGACATTAGGTACCTTCAAAGAAGTAGAAATTCTTCTTTCACAAGTTCTCTATTCATACCGCTTGGTGATATGGCTCTATTAGAGAGTCTACTTAATTTATAGTGTTGCCTCATTTCTTCTCAGCCTGCTAACCATTTCTAGTTTAACAAAAGCAGCTTTACCTCTGGGGGGAATGTGAATGGTTGGTTCCCACACTTCCGTAGTGGGATCTCTGCTCTGTACCATAGAATTATGTTCATATGCCTCACAGTGATGTTTACAGTATTTCTGCCTTCAGATGCCCTTCTTCAATTTATCTTGAATTCTTTTTTTTTTTTTTTTTTTTTTTTTTTTTTTTTTTTTTTTGAGATGAGGTGTCACGCTGTGTATCCCTATCTGACCTGGAACTTGCCACGTGTAGACGTGTGGCAGGCTAATCTACTGCTTCTGTGTGACTCCTGGGTCACTATTATATCTAGGCTGTCCTCTGCTATTTAATGCATGCAAAAGAATGATGCCCTGCTGCAAACACAAGTTCTGGGGAGCAATGGCAAGAAGGCTGCCTGGCAGTGGACTAGCTGGCTAGTTTTTGCTCTGCCAGTGACCTACTCTCTGTTAGCTTGGAAAAAATAGCTTGGCCTCTTTGAACCTTCATTTAAAAAAATTGTAAAGATCAAAGGGACCTTATCTAGCTATGGCGGTTGTTTATCAGTAAGTTCTAGTATAGCTTGGTTGATGATTTGCTTGTCCTCCTGTTTAGATAAATGGAAAAAAAAACCCCACAGACTCTAAATAGTGCTGGTGTCAGAGGGCAATGTCTTCTCATAGTCAAGAGAGAAGAACATACAAATTGTGTAAAATTTGCTCTGATGATCTGAATATTACCATTGTAATTACAGTAATATAATTGCGTAAACTATTTTTCAGTGATTCTAAAAGATTAATCAAACACCTCCTTTTACAGAGATGTCAGATTAGTAAATCACACTCCTTGGGTTTGAAAATCCAAGTAGGTAAGTTTCAAAGTCGACTCTTCATCAGTCAAGTATAGATGTATAAGCAGCCTGGTTTTGGCATAGGCTGATTGGTTCATATAGGGTTTGTGTTCTTATCACCTGGTCTACGGTAGAGCTGCTTGGGATCTATTGTAATTGACTGAGCCTGTCTCTCATCCATCTATGCTGAGACTTGAGAGCTCAGCTCCAAACGACATTTTACTGAGCACATGCTTCAGGCAGCCATTCTTTCTTATATTTCCAAGGACCCTGCACAGACTTCTAACACTCAGAGCACCAAGCTTGGCACGTTCTGTTGTAAATATTTCCTTTTTCTATGCTGTATTTAAAGCTACTGAGGATTCCCTCTGCCTCAACTTCTTAATGGAATATAGCCTAGAATAAAACATTTGGTCCTGTTTATAGAAAGAATAAAGGCAGGAAGATGGGCAGAAAACAGGAACTGGTCATGCTTTCTTGGATTACAGTTTCTGATTTTAGAGTTAGTCACGTATCACTCGTAACCAAGAAAAGTGATTCAAAGTGAATTTTACAAAGTTTAACTTAAGTATATTGTATATATGCAAATATTAGTGAAATCCATTATTTATATAAATAATATGTGCTAATAAAAATACAAAAAACTGTTTGGTTACAAGATTATTTCATAAGCATTAGAAAAACAGTTCACATTATTTAGACACACAGCTGATTTGCATAAGAAAATCCTTTACTGTATTGCATGTCTATCATCAAATCCCAGGAGAAGTGGTATCATGGGAGAATCTTAGGTGCGTAGCCCCAGCTCTGAAATTGGCTCTTACTTTGGGTAGTTTCTGTGTCTCTCTGTGGCTCAATTTCCCATTTTGAAAAATGAGCACTAGAGACACTGACACTATTACTGTAAGCATGAACTCAGACACTATTAAATACCCCACATCTGACGCAGAACGGTAGCAGGAAGTAAAGCCTGTCTGTGATTGTCGCTATCAGCATGTGTCACCAGTTGTCAAGGAGCTGGGGACACTTAAAGTAGTTTTGCATCTCTTCCCAGAGCAATTTTTTTAAAGCAGTACTGTAATTTGGGAGACCGCTTCCTTATTTCCCTTAGCTGTCAGCTCTATATAAGTATTTCCTTCCGTAAGACTTCTCATTCCACCTTCTTTGGGATCTCCATTTTCTTCCTTTCTTTTTCAGTGAATTGCTTGCTCCTTTAAATGGACAACTTAGCATTTGAAATGCAAGAAGATGGAACACAGAAGGCTTCATCCATGGGAAAGATCAGTACTCTTTCCAAAGTGGTAAGGTGGGGGTTTGCATGCCGGGGTTATGTGCCCTGACTTGTGCGAAGCTCAGAGAGAATCCTTCTTTAGATCAGTGCTCCCAATGAGACCCCTTTCTCATTGATGCTCTGTCTTTTCTTATAAACCCCTAACTGCTGCTTCTTTAAAGGCCAATTATCCTTGAATTATTGCTCAAAATATCAACAAATGCTCTTGACTTGTTGGGTTTTATCACTAGGTTAAAATAAATTTGCCTCTTAACTGGGGCTTCCCACAGGCAACATTTTCATACATGCTGATCAAGTAGCTTAAAACAAATCAAAGGGAAGACTTTTTTTTTGTTGGGTTGATTATTCATTGGTTTTTATATTGCCCCTTTTCTCTGCCAGTCTAGGAGTCAGTTTAAACACCTGTTCTGTTTTCTATTTAAAAGGACCAAGCAAACTGCTGACTGCATCCACTAGTCATGGCGAGTAGGAATAGTATTTTAAAACTAGCAGAACAGCAAATATTATTTAAGAAAACTTTGTTTGAATGATGATGGTGATGTGTGTGTGTGTGTATTATCTAAGACTTAAGTGTCTTACACTAGATAAGTTTAGGAATACATTTCTTAATGTGGATGTGGTTAAAAAAAAGGTCAAGGAGGACTAAATGTTTCGTGTCTGATCATTTCCTGACTCAGCATCAATAGGTAAGACATAGACTTCAGAGTACAATGTTGAGGTTAGCAGAAAGAAAAAATACAAGTCCAGGAAGGGGACAATGCCTCTGTTTTTTCACACGTGGAGGATGATGGCTTCAAATTTTCTTGTAGGAGAAGAGGCGACAGTGGTCACTGCTGAGCGTTTTCCTGCTGTGCCTGCTGGCCTGTTTCATCACCACAGCAACAGGCGTGCTTACTCTCTCCCTGGTTTACCTCCACGCCAAACCTCGCTTTGAACAGGACGCCTCACCTCCACACACAGTGGTTCCCCAAGTACAGAAGGCTATTGATCCAAAATTTCAATTTCTTAATCATTTACCCAAATCCAAGGTAAGAATAATGCAGATCAGAAAACTGTTCTCCAAAGGATGATTTTAAAACCATGCTTGCACTTCGTGGTATTAAGCTGTCCTCCAAGGGAAGGGCCATTGGGTTGAAGGGAGGTGGGGACTAGAGGAGCAGAAAATTGGGTTGATGTTGGCAGCAGGCAGAAAATTTCAGTAGATCATTCGTGTTCTAATTAGAAAAGTGCCAACTTGTAGATGGAAAGGAAGGCTCTATGTATGTGTGTGTGATGTGTATGTCTCTGTGTGTGACATGTGTATCTGTGTGGTGTGTGAATTTGTATGGTGTGTATGTGATATATGTGTGTGGTGTGTGTGTATGGTGTGTCTGTTGTGTGTGTAGTGTGTGTGGTGTGTGTATGATCTATGTGTGGTGTCTGTGTGGTGTGTGTCTTTGTGGTATGTGTCTGTGTGTTGTGTGGTGTGCATGTGTGTGTGTGGTGTGCATGTGTGTGTGGTGTATGTGTGGTGTATGTGTGTGGCATGTGTCTGTGGTGTGTGATGTGTGTGGCATGTGTATCTGTGTGCTGTGTGTGGTGTGTGTATGTATATGTGTTGTGTGTGTGATATGTGTGTAGCATCTGTCTGTCGTGTGTATGTGATGTATGTGTGTGGTGTGTGTGTATGATGTGTGTGTGGTCTGTGTATGGTGTGTCTGTTGTGTTTTGGTGTGTGTGTAGTGTGTGTGGTATGTGTATG